GGCATGGGGCATGGGGCACGGGGCACGGGGGCATGGGGCATGGGGCATGGGGCATGGGGCATGGGGCATGGGGCATGGGGCATGGGGCATGGAGCATGGGCCATGGGGCATGGGGCACGGGGCACCGGGCATGGGCCATGGGGCATGGGCCATGGGGCATGCGGCATGGGGCATGGGGCATGGGGCATGGGGCATGGGGCATGGGGCACGGGGCACGGGGCATGGGGCATGGGGCATGGGGCATGGGGCATGGGGCATGGGCCATGGGCCATGGGGCACGGGGCACCAGGCATGGGGCATGGGGCATGGGGCATGGGGCATGGGGCATGGGGCATGGGGCATGGGGCATGGGGCATGGGGCACGGGGCATGGGGCATAGGGCATGGGGCATGGGGCATGGGGCATGGGGCATGGGGCACAGGGCACCAGGCATGGGCCATGGGGCATGGGCCATGGGGCATGGGGCATGGGGCATGGGGCATGGGGGCACCTGGAGCACTGAGTCGGGAGAATCAAGGAAGGGCGCCCAGGGGAGTGCAAAGGAGAGCAGCACGGTGGCGGCGAGCGAGAGGAACATGAGCACAGGGCGGGGTGCCTGGCGGCAGCGACCCAGCAGATGTGCGAAGAAGGCCGGGGCGAAGTAGAGCGCCATCTGATGGCGCAGGGGGGGGGGGGGGGGGGGGTCGTGGGGAGAGCAGATTAGGGGGGGAATATTGAGTGGATGTTTCAAGTGGATGTATTTGGGTTAAGGAAGGGCAAGCACACGCAATAGCAGAGGCAAATGCAGGCCGCACACACAAAAAGTCATCCCCATCATCACGCCCCCTCTTCAAACCCCCTTCTCATCTCCCACTCGCATTCCCTTTCTTCATGCCCCTGGCTCCTCACATGCTTGTGGTTGATGGCGAAGCAGAACAGCGCACTCCCAATGAGGTAGTGCCGTGAGATGATGGCAGTGGCTGCTGCTAGCGACAGGCCCAGGCTGATGCTGTTGTACTGCGGCGATGTGCGGGGGGGGTGGGGAAGGACAGGGAGAAGAAGGTAGTGGGGGGCGGGTGAGGATGAGCCCCCGCTGCAGATGATTGCGTGCACGTACATGTACAAGGCACTTCACAGCAAAGGGGAGGAGGGCCACGAGGAGAAAAGGCGAGGCTTACCTGGAAGTGGCCGTGGTCGATGAGAATGAGTCCCGGCTGCAGCAGCAGCATGCCCAGCACCCACAGGCGGTGGGCCGCGGGCCGAGAGGTGGACGGGGAGAGGCTGCGGACGAAGGGCGAGCAGGCGAAGGCGAGGGCGGCGGGGAAGAAGACGAGGAGGTCCGTGGAGAGCACCGTCCAGCGCAGGAGCGCCTTGCTGGCAGGGCGGGATGGGGGCAGGACGTGTGGGGTGTGTGCTGTGATGGGGGCGTTGGAGATGGGTGAGTGCACTCTGTAAAACGCGGAGGTCAGCTGAGAGAAAGAAGCAACCATGGGTTGAGGCCCATTTAACCATGCGAGTGGGAGGACCCCATGGGCTGAGCCGCTGGGATCCTGAGAAAAAAACCCCACTCGTCCTGTCCCGCCACCCGCCCCTCCATTCTCCCTCCAACTCCCCCCACTACTCTCCCTTCACTACCCCCCAATACTCACCCCCCCACTACTCGCCCTCCCACTACTCGGCCCCCCACTACTCTCCCCCCCCTCTCCCCCTCACCTATACGCCGACTCGTATCCCTGGGACGTCCCCAGGGCCACAGCGTCAGGGCAGAACCAGCGCACCACCCAGCCGTGCGCGCGGCTCTGCCAGGCGGTGAGCGGCGGGTAGTCGAGGCCCCACCAGCTCAGGTCGTTCACGGACGAGTTGCGGTACCACTGCGAGGGAGGGAGGTTGACCGTGATCTCCATCCAGTGCCGCTGCGCCTCGTAGTCGCCGAAGCGAGGCGGGGTGTGCATGCCTGGATGGGGGGAGAGAGGGGGGGGGTTTGCGGAGGGAGGGGAGGGCAACGATGTGTGGGAGGAGGGACGGAGGGTCCGGGGGACGGGGGGAGGGGGGTAAGGGGGAGGTGAAGGAGGAACAGCGGGGTGCATGGGTGGGTTGAGGCGTGGGAAGGGCGACGATGTGGGGGAGGACGGGGAAGGTGGGGGGGAAGGGCGGGGGGGGGGGTTGGAGAGACGGATGACGGAATGCAGTGGCGTAGGAGGAGAGATGAGGGAACTAGGCGCGGAGACTAGGCGACGAGAGGAGCTCGTGAGGGGTGGAGAGGGATGGGGAGGGATGCGAGGGGAGGGAGACGAGGTTTGGGATGGAAAGGGAGGGCGAAAATGGGAGGAGGAGAGGAGAAAGGGTGGAAGGGTGGAAGGGAGAGGAGACATGGAACAAGGGTGGTGCGGTGTTGCGGGCACGCGGGAGGAACTGGCGATACCACTACTGGAGTCAGGACTCAGGACCCTTGGGTACGGAGCACAATGCCACATCCGATCCGAACATGCGGTATCCAGCGGCCGGCATACCCGAGTATGGGTGCAGTCCGGTGCAGAGGCGCACCAGCACCGCGAATCCTATCACCAGCGCGCATGCGCCCCACCACATCCGCGCCGCTCGTTTACTCCCCACGCCCCGCTCCTTGTGCGACGACGGCGATGCTGTAGCCGCTACACTGTCCGATTTTGATCCCGATCCTGATTTTGATTCTGATTCTGAGGACGCCTCCTCGCCTTCGTCGGGCAGCAGAAACTCGCACAAGTCGGCGAAGCGACCCATCGCTCGGCGTGAGCTCGCGTGCAGGCAATGAGGGACTTTGCGAGAGGGACGGCGGGGAATGCGGGCAGCAATGTGTGGAGGGACTGCGAGGAGATAATGAGGCGAAACAAACGAGGGTTCTGAATTAACTTCGAAGAAGTTGGCGTGCACTACCTCGCGTATGTGTGACGCTCTGCTGTAATGCGTGGACCAGCAAGATAGACGGCACTTGGTCGGGGATCGGGAGGAGAATTGGCCAGTCTCGACAATGGCGAACTATTACCAGTAGTTGTGATGCAGATGAGATCTCAGCAAGCGAACTCGGGCCCTGTTCTGCGGGCATGTTTGACAAGTTATTCGCGCTCACAAAGCTTCTGTGATAAGTGCAACTCTACTTATCGAGGCTCGGCGATAAGAGCTCACGGCTCGGAGCACGCCAAACCTAGATTGATACATTGTTTAGCAAAAACTGCAGAACACCAAAGCTCGAATGACGCATTGTCAAGCAGGGTGCTTCCGGTAAATTGTGCTCAGGGGCAGAGCAGCTGAACCACTCGTAAAATCTGCAACCGACCTCCGATAGCTCGATGCACGATGAACAAGTTGTTCCGGCAGCATTTAGACGCCCTGAAAAATAGCCGGTAACGGCTGCAACAAAACCCCCCCAAAAATGTCCACCCCACACATACGCATAGTTGCGTTCCTCACTTTTTTTTGCTGAGGCTGCAGGTTTAGCTGGGGCAGTGCCGAAAATTGTTTCCTCCCAGTTGCGAAGCCGCGATTTCAGATGCTTGTGGTTTCGCTTTCTGGGCCCGCTGTTTCGTTGACTCGGCAATGTTGGAAATAGCTGTTTCCGATTTGACTAGAGATTTTATCAAACCAATGCCTACAGAACAAAGCCTGAACCTGATACTAAAAGCACAAATAAAAGAGCACCCAGGATTCGTAGACGAGGCTCACAACCAACATAAATGCTTTATCTACGTGATGTGACTTTTGAACATGGCACTATTACACGCTTCACTCACAACTTAGATGCTTACATTGGCTAAATACATTAGCTTACCTAAAAATGTATGGCATTCTATCTAATCTAATACATTCCTTTAAAATACAACAGCCTAACTACTCCTACACGTTTGCACGACCAACTACACAGTCCTAGGCTTCAACATTGCCTCACCGACGACACATACCACTGGCAACAACTGGAATGCACATCTCCTTCATAGTCCACTGTACTGCCGCTCATCACATTTGCTCTTCAAGTCTTCCTCATTGCTGTAGCCTAACAAACACATCTATTCCATCTGTGCTGTCTGTACAGGCCTCCTCCTCCTCCTGCTGGTATTGCTGCTTCTGTTCGCCCTGCAGTGCTTGGTCCAGCATACGCCTCAACGATCACTCTCCTCCATGCCCACCTCACCTGTCGCACTCCCGCCCCTCCTGCTGAATTTGCCGCTGCCATCATTTGCCGCTGCTGTTGTTACTATCAGAGTTGAGAAGTGAATGAATAGATAGAGTGAGAGTACACACAGATATACCTAAGTGTTGTACTCTCTAAGAGGCGACCCTATACAGTCTATACAAACATGACAAATACACATGTTTGACACACCCCCTAGACTGCATAGGGGAATGCCCTAAACAAACAGCTCAGGGCGGCACTACTAGTCCAACCTCTGAGACAAGGGTCTGAGAGACCAGTCAGAAGGAGTACAAACAAGGCAAGAACAAGAGCAGGGCGGCACTACTAGTCCAGCCACTGCGAGAGGACACAAGTCCAGTCTGAGTAAACGTATAAAGGACAGTACAAAGTCAAGGTCCTAGCAAGTGAGAGGCTACAGGAACTAGACCAAGCTGTACACAGTGCCGCTGATGATCTTTAGGCGCAAGCGCCTTCGTAAAGATATCAGCCGTGTTGGCACCTGAGGCCAAGTGTACTACGCGAGCCTGACGTCGCTGCTGTAGCTCACGCAGGAGGAAGTACCGCAGCTGAATGTGCTTTGCTCTGCCCTCGAGTCGAGGGTCCTGACACAAGAGGATCATGGCCCTGTTGTCAGCGAACAGGACCGGAGCAGAGCTAGGCCGCTCACCTAAGTCAGTGAGCAAGAAGGTCAGCCAGCGGAGCTCCTGTGCCGCCATGGCACCAGCGTAGATCTCAGCCTCATAGCTGGACTGCGCAACAGACGAGGAGTGGGTAGCTCTCCACGAGACGGCACCTGAGCCAAGGCTGAAGCAGTAGCCCTGGGTAGACCTGAGTGTCTCGGCGTCGTCTGCCCACGAAGCGTCTGTGTGTCCAGTAAGGACCACTGGCCTGCGTCCTCCTAGCACTAACCCCATGCCCGATATACTAGCAAGATAACGCAGAACCCTCTTAGCGGTAGACCAGTGCTGCGGTCGGTGTCTGCCTGTGGCCACAAAGCGCGCCAGGATGCTGAGAGGGTATGCGAGATCTGGGCGAGTGCAAGTCATCAGGTACATGAGGCAACCCACCAGCTCTGCGTAGGGGCCGCTGGGCTCTACCAACTCCTCAGACACTGGAGCGGAGAGTCTGTGGTCTACAGGCAGAGGGGTGGGCTGTGCAGAGGAGAACTGAAGGCTGAACCTCTGAAGGACCTGGCGCACCAAGTGTGACTGAGTCAGGGTGATGGTGCGCGCAGCTCTGTCCCTGGAGATCTGTAAGCCAAGGTAACGGCGCAGTTCTCCAAAGGTCAGTGCACGTGTGTCTCTTCAGCAGCTCTGCCTTCACGGAGGCCAGTGCGTCCCTGTCTGCTGTGGCAAAGACCAGGTCGTCGACGTAAACAAGGATGTAGAACGGAGTCTGGCCAGCATGAACGAAGAGTGAAGGGTCTGCGGAAGACGGAAAGAACTGCAGGTCAGCAAGCGTAGCACGGAGAGTGTCGTGCCACTCACGGGGAGCCTGGCGCAGGCCGTAGACGGGGCGCCGCAGGAGCCACTGGGTCCCAGGAGGGAAGGTGCCAGTGAAGCCCTGAGGGCACCGAAGGTAGACCTGCTCGTGTAGGCTGCCCTGAAGGAAGGCAGTGGAGAAGTCGAGGGAGTGAAGCTCGTAGTCACGCTGAGCAGCTAGGTGTAACAGAACCCGAAGAGTAGTCATCTTCGGGGTCGGAGCGAAAGTCTGGAAGAAGTCCACCCCCTCGCGCTGACTGAAGCCTCTAGCGACATAGCGCGCCTTGAAGACAGGCGGCTCTCCAGGAGGGCGCTTCACCTTGAAGAGCCAGCGGCCATCGACTACGTTCACCCCAGGTGGGGGAACTGCGTCGACGAAGGTGCCGGTGGATCTCCAAGATGCCATCTCCTGCTCCATGGCAGCTATCCACTGCGAGGCCCAGGGTCCCGAAGTCGCCTCAGCGTAAGTGCGAGGGGTCGGGATGTCGAAAGCGTCTGGGTCACCCTCACGGACTAGCAGCATGGAACAGAGATGGGGAGCAGCCTCGGAGAGGAAAGCAAGCTCGAACTGGCGGTCCTCCAGGACGTCAGTGCCAAGGGCAGGAGCACCCCCGACAGACGGAGGACAAGCAGGGTCAGAGACCAGAGCGGTGGCGTAGTCAAGGCGGCGGGTAGAGGCGAAGTCAGCGACAGCAGCGACAAGAGCGTCAAGGCACGAGGACGGAACAGACGAGTCGGTAACGAGAGAGGCAAGGACCCGAGGAACAAGGGGACGAGCGGCACGAAGGTAGTCAGACAGCGGGGGGGGTGCAACAAAAAGGGAGGACGGAGGAGGCGACGGCAGAAGGGGAGGACGAGACGCGTGGGAACGAAGCAACATAGGGTGGGAGCGCAAGACAGGCGAGGCAGGACGAGCACGGGAGGGACGGTGAGACCAGACGTGCGACGGAGGAGTCGGGTCAGGAGACAGAGGAGGGGACACAGGAGGGGAACGAGGGGGGAGACTGGCCGGGGACGAGTCCGGCAGAGGGAAGACAGGGCCGTAGACAGGAAGAGGAGGAGACGGCCGGGGAGGAACCGACGCAGGGTCGGGGGACGGAAGGCCGAGCAGGCGAAGGGCTGACACCGGCGGGGACTGCTGCTGCGGCGGCACAACGGCGACACCGGGACCGCAAGCTGCTCCTCGGCTACCACCGGCACTCTCCACACCAGCACCCCCAGAGGGACCACCCCCAGGGCTACCGGGACGAGCACCCCCAGAGTGAGCGAACGGGTGCTGCGACGGCGGCAGCGGCGGCGGTGGCGGCGGCAGCGACAACGACGGCTGCAGCGGCGGCAGAGGCGTTGGAGGGGGGGACTGGGGAGGGGACGCCAGGGGAGGGGCGGCCGGCGAGGACTGAACAGGAGGGCCACCTGAGTCAGAAGACTCCTCAACCGGGTCCACCGACGGAAGGGGGGTGACGTGGGACACACCAGAGGGGGCGGGACGGGGAGGAGGAGGAGGGGCAGGGACTACCGGGGAAGGAGTGACCAGGAACAGGGGGGGGGTAACCGGGGGACCACGGTGGGGGAAGCGACGGTAGTAGGAGACGGACTCGTCAAAAGTGACGTCACGAGAGTGAAAGAAGCGGTGAGACGGCGGGTGGTAAAAGTGCCAGTCGGACGCGTCAATGGGAAAACCGAGGAAGACGCAGGGAAGGGTGCGGGCAGTGAGCTTGTCCGTGCCGGAGGCACGGACGTGAGCAAGGCAGCCCCAGACGTGAAACGCAGACGCGTCACCAGGAGATCCAGTCCAAAGACGAGTCGGCGAAACCTGCAGCTGCTGAGGGTGCGGCCACAAGTTAAGCTGGTGAGAAGCGTAGCGCACAGCGAACGGCCACAGAAAATGGGGTGCACCGGCATGGATCATGGAGGTGCGAGCCACCTCCATGACCAAACCGATGCGTCACTCAGCGACCCCATTCTGCTGTGGGGAGTCCGGTAGGGTGAACGTCTGGGTGATGCCCTCCGCACGACAAAAGCGACCAAGGACACCTGAGGCAAACTCGCCACCACGGTCGGAGTGAAGACGCAAGACAGGGAGACCACGGTGGACACGCGCAGAGACAAGCCAGGGGATGAGAGCGCCAGGCACGTCGGCCTTGCGCTCCAGGGGAAAGACTGTGGTGTAACGAGTGAAGTCGTCGACAAGCACAAGGAAGTAGCGCTCTCGATGCGGCCCAGGGACGGGGGCGGGGCCCCAGACGTCCAGGTGCAGGGTGTGCAGCGGCGCGGCGGTAGGGGCAAAACGAGGAGGAGTGCGGGGCACGGCGAAGCCGACCCTCGACACAAGGCGTGCAAGGTGGGGCTGGGGAGGAGGGAAACGCGGGAA